CGTCGTGTACACAAAGCCAGAGGGTAAAATGGGGGTTAAAAAAACTTGGACTTGAAGTATTAGATTTGATGTCTGCAACTAAAACATGGACAGTAGGGGAAAGGAGCACTTAAAACTATGGCTCTGCAAAATGCAGTATCCATTGACACAAAAAAGCAGCAAGTTAACAGAAGGAAGAGCACTTAGTGGTGTGGTGACTTGCCAAAGCCGGAGCCATTAACTACTGGAGATCCACTTGAGGGAGACAGGGAGCGTTTCCCAATTGTGGTTTGCTACAATCATTTTATTTCATGGCTCCGGGGAACAATCCAATCATGAACTGCAAGTGTTTGGGTGGAAAATGTTTTGCGAGCTCAGAAGGGATGTGACTGTGCTCTGGGCATGAGGGATGGAATGCAGGCTATTTCAAGGTCAGGCAACCTACAACAAACAAGGACAAAAGTCGCTCGGTGGTTACCGTAGCGAGCATTCAAGCCAGAGGTCTGAAAAGATAAATATTAGCTTCTTCCCCCCGTGTTAATACTGTTTATTCTTCTACGGCTGATTAGTGGCATGTCACAGCGTAAGAGGGTGGGGAGAAGGCAGGTTAATGTGCACCCATCAGCACAGTTTAAGCCTGGGCCCGTCCAGTGGATATGGAGAATGTGGCGTAAGCGCACACAAGAAGGATTGAGGGGTAATATTTGCAAAGGGGACTTTGAACCCGCCTCTCAAGGACACAGCGTGAGACTTGGACTCAAGTCCAGGCACACAGTTTTGGAAGTGCTACCCTAAGTCTCCAAACCGGACTTGTCAAGTCTGACTCTTGGAACCTTCCAGGGTTCAGCTGAACGCAGGGATTTTAAAGGCCTGGGTATTCTTCGTTCAGCTTCCCAGTTTGGAGGGGTGGCCCACGGGGACTGCAGGAGCCAGCTTGCAACTTCTGCACAGCCCGGAGCAGTGCTGTCAGTCACTGAGTTCGGATTCCAACGTAGGAAGCTGGTTATTGACGCTGTGTGTCAGGACAGAGCGTTGCGTGCTGGGCCTGCAGTGTCTGGCGGCCAACCCTCCATTCGAAAGATAAGGATGACCATGGGTGGCACCATATAGCTTCCCGGGCCACACTGTGCCTACCCGTGGTCTAGAATGCGTACTGGAAGGACACTCGGCTCCAGGACAGTGGAAGCAGAAGGAATAGCATCTGGAATTCGTTAATGTGTCCCATGTTCTATGGCCAGGTAGACAAGGGAATGTGACCACATACCCGGGACAAGCCACTGTTGTACCCATCACCGTTTGAACCCTTCTGGTTTGCAACAGTGAGACCAGCAGAGGTCCCAAAGGCTAGAGGGATATTACAGGGCTTTAGCAGCAGCTCCCTCAGTTCTACACCTGCCTGCTACCCACCTAGTGAGTATTTGCATCCTCTTGGAAGGACAATATCCACAAACGCTGAGGAAGTGCTCGCTCTCACCCAAGTTCCTGCCCATCAGAACTGGGAAGAATCCATCGAACTTAGTAAGATCTCCTGCACACATTGGTTAGCAGAAAAACTAGCTGCACAAAAGCTACTAAGGAAGTATTAGCAAGGCCAGCGTTAGTGGTTTTGCCTGGAGGAAAACCCCGGTACACATTTTGGCTGGGGAGAGAAGTGAAGTTTTGGAGTCAACGTTGGACCACCTCTCATGTTGGAACAGACTGCGTTAGGACCTAGTGCTATGGCTAGAAGTCTGAAGGGCTACAGATACCTGCCTTTTTAACCAAACTCACTTCGTTTAAGGCATCAGAGTTGGGTGTTTACTGCAGGTCTTGTTCCAAAAGCTGCGCAGATAAAATGAGACCAGTCCCCCAGTCAGGGACGAGGGAGGGTGCGGTTCCAGAAGCACTGACAATGCAGGTTAGTTTGGTTTGCATGCTGGTGCACCCTACGCAAAAGCCGTTAGTGCTTAGAGTTTCTGGAGACCCTATTGCTCAAACAGCCGGCAAAGTTTCAGGTGATGCCAGATTCTTTCACAGAGTCATTTGTTTGCCTGTTAGTAACTGTCTGGTGTGAACAGGCACCACAGGAAGAGTTAAACCGTCCCCACAAGCAGTGCCTGCAGCTTGGGATGAGGTGGAAGGGTTGGGTTTGAAATGCACCACAGGGGGAGCCTCTCCAGCAGCACGAGGGGAAAGGCCAACAGATGGGGGGTTACCTCTGTACAGCTTCCTGATCCGGCTCCCCGTCGGAGCTCTCCTCATCCACGGGGGTAACTGCTGGCACTGCCTGAGGAGAGAGGAAAGGGGAACCGTGGGCTCCAGAAACGACCTGTTCAGCGCCCTTTCTGGGCTGAGGAGAACTGACGTTCTGGAAAGGGTTCCAGCACAGTAAGGCACCGGGCCCGGGGGGCACTCGGAACCCTCCTCCAAACCACCTGCCCCCCTCCCCAGGCAGCTTCTCCTTGTGGTGCTAGCAGGAGGTGCAGTCACAGGGGAGCACAGCCCACAGCAACGCGCCGCACTTCCCACGGGCAGACTGTCCTTTCTCTGATCCAATAGAGCAAGAGAGTGGCAAAGCCACCTTAGCGAGAGGGTTACAAACATCAGGCTCTTCCCAGCACTTCTGAAGAGAGGACACATTTCAGCTACGACTAAATGATAAATAAAAGACCCAGTCAGTATCAGCACATCACAGTCCTCACGGTAGCGAGACGTCTGGCCCCTAGAGCTAGCAGTTTTGTGCAGGTCATTAATGGCAGGAGGAAGATACAGAACTTGGCAGATTCCAGCTGACAACCCCAATACGGTAACAAAAAGGAGCAAAGCGATTAGAAACCCGGAGAGTGGACGTGAGCGTCACCTTGGAGACACGCCGCTACTCCCCGGACACGCTCGCTTCCACTGGGAAGGAGACGACCCCGCGGGGACCGGCTCAAGCAGTCAGCATGCCTCAGGGCCCCTGCCAGACAGCTAGCCGTGCCCACTCCAAGGGCGGGGCACCACAAAGCCAGATGCTAAGCAAACAGCGATATGGGGAGACGGAAAGGAAAGGTGCTTGCGAGGCACCTGGTAACCGAAGGAGTTTTAAGCTCTAGGAGCGTAGACAGTGTGGAAGAAGGAGGAGCCGAGTCACAGCATGGCCTGGGACAGGATACTGGCAGCAAAGCCACCATCTGTTTTAAAAGGTCCTTTGAATCCAGCTTCGGCTTAGCCTCTGGAGAGCAGGTGGGCAGAGAGGATGAAGGGAAAGGGTCCCCAAAGGGGACAGTACTGTAGGAGGAAAGTCCCGGCGGAAGGAAAGCAAAAGCAAACGGCAGGTGGCAAGTCTCTGCCAGTGTTGGGAATCTGGCATTTCATTCCCTGTCCGCCTCTGCAGTACTTTCCCACACACCACTCCCCCCAGCTCTCGCTGCCAGCTCAGCCAGCAGGAGGACATGTCTGCAAACATGCCACCAACTCTGTTCTTCCTTTGCTACCTACCGGCGTCATAGTGACGAGGGGGGAAGGACCTCGAGGGCGCTTCAGCAGCTGTTGTGCGTGCAGCTGGATGTTGGCTCCGCCATCCGAAGCCCGTCGCCCCAGAGGGCCCATTCCATTCAACAACTGCAGCGTGGGGGGCTGCAGCAAGGACTGCTCCTAGGAGGAACACAGAGTCAGCACAGCATACTCGTCCTCCCCCGCTGCCTGCTGAGGAGGGTCTCGATGCATCTGGATGCAACCACATACCCTGTGGTGCATACAAGCGTCCCAACGCGGTTCAGAAGATCCAACAGCCT